AGAACTAACCCTTCCTGCCCTCCCTCTCATGATTCCCTTTGGGGAGGGCTTAGTGGTAGAGCTTCTGCTTGGCATGCAGAAGGTCCCAAGTTCAATCCCCACCATCTCTGGTTAAAAAGGACCAGGCAGTTGGTGATGTGGAAGACCTCAGCTTGAGTCCCTGGAGAGGTACTGCCGGTACCCCTGACCTAGATGGACCAAGGGTCTGATTCAGTAGGTCTGATTCAGTAGAAGGCAGCTTCATATGTTCATTCTACACAAACAAGCGCAGAACTGGGTTTGCACAAGAGCGTGAGTTCACATATTCCCCACCAGTCCTTCCCCAGACGTTGGGCTGAACACCAACAGGGGCTGTTTCTACACACCAAAGATTCTCTGTTTCGCATTTTGCAACTACAGAGGCATGCACATGGGCAGTGCAGCTTCCTCAGACAGATCATGAGAGGGAGGGCAAGAAGAGAGGAGCCACTGCCCATCTTACATGCCCAGGGTAATGCCAATCACCACTTTGGGGTCAGGAAGGAATTTTCCTCCAGGCCAGATTGGCTCAGGGATCCTGGAGGTTTTCTTGCCTTTCTCTGGGCATGGAGCAGGGGTCACTGGGGGACTGGGTGGTGGTGGAAGAAGTTGTGAATTTCCTGCATTGCACAAGGGGTTGGACTAAATGACCCCTGAGGTCCCCTCCAGCTCTATGGTTCGGTGTTTCCACAGGGTTTTTTTGCTTTTAAGAGTTGCAGAGTTAGCCAAGTAAACAGAGCACACCCAGGTGTTAGTCTGAGCTTAAAAGAAAACATAACTTTCCTAGAAAACAAAAGGGAGGGTAGTTCCATTTGGAAGAAAGTAAAGAAAAGAGTCTTAGCTATTCTGACTACACGTTTACTGTTGATTGGTAAAAAAAAAACTAAATGCCTTCTTGCTCACAGACAGAGAGCAGACACTGGTAGTAAACATGCAAACATCCTATATATCGATTAGCCAATTACAGGACTATAGATCACTTCATTTAACTAACCCCACCTATAATTCCCCCCCCCCCGCCAGCATGACTGAAGTCTACCTTTAATTGGTTACAAGGTTAGCTACACCATTTCGTGCTTACTAACAACATAACTCTATAATGACTGAGTGAACCGTGTAAGCAACTTGTACATATCCCAACAATGTTCCTATCTTTCCACAGTGTGTTTTATGCACATTCTCCACCATTTCCCTCTGCCATCTTTTCGCCACCATGTTATAGAGTTATGGCGATGTTAGTGTTCCCTGCACGTGTAAGAAAGGGTCACAAGAACTAAGCACTAATGCAACCCTTCCTGCCCTCCCTCTCATGATCCCCTTTGGGGAGGGGTTAGTGTTCCCTCTAAGCTGAGTTAGTGTGAGCTAGCTCACAGTTTTTTAGCCTCCGGCTCACACATTTTTGTCTTAGCTCAGGAAGGAGGGCTCCAGAGCAATATAATTGATGCAGTAGCCAAACTGCTTGCTCACAACTTTAATGCCAGCAGCTCACAAAGTAGAATTTTTGCTCACGAGACTCCACAGTTTAGAGGGAACATTGGCGACGACTGATGTTTTTAAAAGGTCCTTAAAAGGCCCTCAGCAGGGGGAAATGGTGTCCCCTGGGGGCTGATGGTAGGGAAAACGTCACCGATGTGGGCAGCACCTTTTTGCAGGGCAAGAAAATGCACGTTTATCCGTCTAGATCGGGGTCCCCAACATGGTGCCTGTTGGCGCTATGGCATTCACCAACACCTTTCCTGGTACCCACTGAGTGCTTTTAAAGGCCAAGTGACACTTTTGCCCAGAAAAGCTTTGCCTCCTGGGGCACCCATTTTTGTGACTGTGCCCACCAAGCGTTATCAGAATTCCAAGGAAAAGGTTGAGGACCCCTGATCCAGATGGCATGACAATGTGCTTCAACTGCGCTCTTCCCCAAAAGATCAGAACAAAGTAGGTTTGGGAAAGAGCGTACAGAGGACAGGCACAGGACAGTTGGAGCATGACGGGCAGTAGGTTCAGGATGGACAAAAGGAAAGACAACTTTACACAGAGAGCGATCAAAATGTGGGATTCGCTGCCAGGGGATGTAGTGAAAGCCACAGGAATAAACAGCTTTAAAAGGGGAGTAGATAGATTCATGGAGGAGAAGTCTATCGGTGGCTACTAGCTATGGTAGCTGAGGGGAACCTCCACATTCAGAGGCACTAACCCTCTGACTCCCAGAGCCAGGAGGCAAGATCAGGGTGAAGCCTCGGCCTCTATGCCTTGTCGTTGGCCCTCCAGAGGAACTGGCCGGCCACTGAACGAGACACGATGCTAGACTAGGTAGACTATTGATCTGATCCAGTGGTCTTATGTTCTCATGATGCCAGGCGGATGCTCCAGAAATTAAAGCTAACAATGCCGTTTGGAAGCCAAAGTGGACAACAAAACTTCTGTGCAGGAGCGAGGCAGGTGAGCACGAGAGGCAGGGGCTCTTTTTGTAGCAGGTACTCATTTGCATATTAAGCTACACCCCCCTAATGTAGCCAATCCTCCAAGAGCTTACAGTAGCTCCTGTAAGAGCAGCTCTGTAAGCTCTTGGAGGATTGGCTACATTAGGGGTGTGTGGCCTAATATGCAAAGGAGGACCTGCTACAAAAAGAGCCCGTGCCACGCTTTGGAAGCCCCTCTCCCACAGAGGTTTGCCTGGCAGCGCACGAGCTTTCCTTTAGGTACAAGGTGAAAAACATTTCCACCCTCCCCACCCTTTTGGGTTCTTTGCAGTTGCTTTACCTCCCGCGCCCGGTCTTTGTTTTCACTTTGTGGTTTTGAGAGGCTCCTTTTGGATCGCCAGGATCTTATCGCGTTGCAATTGGATGCATTCTTAACTGTCGCTGTCTTATCGCTGATGCTTTATTGACGCTACTACTGTTGTTGCCCGTCCAGATAGCAAGCTGCTGGTTGGAGAGGGAGGGGAAGGACGTATCTAAGGGCAAGGCCTTAGGCTTCTCCTTTCCCCTGCTCGATGGTCCCCCTGTGACTCCGAGAGGTAGGTCACCCGCAGAATATCATCAGTTTGCAACTCGCTTGATTCAAATCGTGGTGCAGCGGTTAGAGTTTCGGACTGCAACCTGGGAGGCCCAGGTTTGAGTCTCTGCTCTGCCGTGGAGGCCCGCTGGGTGACCTCGGGCCAGTCACATGCTCCCAGCCTACCCTGCCCCACAGGTTTCAGAGGGCAGCTGCGTTGGTCTGCAGCAGGAGACCTAGATTCCGGCCCAGTATCTGACCATTCTTGACATTCCAAAGCTCATACCCCAAAAATCTTGTTTGTCTCCAGCTGTTCTACCTCACGGGGTTGTTGCACTTATTTATTTACTTCATTTGTACCCGGACTCTGCTCCCCAAGCGGCTTACGCCATTCTCCTCTCCTCTCTTTTATCCGCACAACAGCCCTGTGAGGTAGGTGAGGCCAAGAGGTACATTAGGTTTTGAAGATAAACCAAAGGGAAATAGAAAGATGTAGGCCGCTTTTGGTCCCCATTTGGGGTGAAAGGCGAGGTGGGGGGAGAGACAGACGGACGGATTGACAGGAGAAAGGCATATGCTGCTTTCGGTCCCCATTTGGGGTAAAAGAAGAAGAAGAGATTGGATTTATACCCTGCCCTTCACTCGGAGTCTCAAAGCAGCTTACAAACTCCTTTCCCTTCCACTCCCCACAACAGACACCCCGTGAGGTAGGTGGGGCTGAGAGAGCTCTTCCGAGAACTGCTCTCTCAAGAACAGCTCTGACAGAACTACGGCTTGCCGAGGGTCATCCAGCAGCTGAAAGTGGAAGAGTGGGGAATCAAACTCAGTTCTCCCATATTAGAGTGCGTGCACTTAACCACTACACCAAACTGGTGAAGGGAAAGCGAGGGACAGACAGACAGATTGATAGGAGAAAGGCATACGCCGCGTTCGGTCCCTATTTGGAGTGAAAGGCAAGGGGGGAGGGAGGGACAGACAGATTGATAGACAGATTGACAGAGAGACAGACACATAGACAGACAGATTGATTCAGATGGGGCAGCCATGTTCGTCTGAAGCAACAGAACAAAGTTTGAGTCCAGTGGCACCTTTAAGACCAACAACGTTTAATTGCAGCGTTCATAGTTTTTTAGCCTCTGGCTCACACATTTTTGTCTTGGCTCTGGAAGGATGGCTCCAGAGCCAACTAATTTATGCAGTAGTCGAATCGCTCGCTCACAACTTTAATGCCAGCAGCTCACAAAGTAGAACTTTTGCTCACAAGACTCCTCAGCTTAGAGGGAACCTTGATTCTGGGCATAAACTTTCATGCACATGCACGCTTCATCTGATGAAGTGCGCGTGCACACCAAAGCTTACACTCAGAATTAAACGTTGTTAGACGGAAATATAAGATACAGTATTGAGAGACTTGCAATTGCAAAGAGACCCCCACACACGCGAGCGTCACGCCCATATTTAATCCGCTGAACCAACTGGAAGGTCCCCATTTGCAGGTTAACAGTGGGGGGGGACAAACCGACGCCCTGCCCCTTTGCAAGACCCACCCACACACACACACACCCTAAAGAGACCCCCTAAAAAGGTAAAGGTTCCCTTACTCGAAAGCCAGTCGAATCCGACCCAAGGGTCGTTTCAAAGCCGAAGAGCCAGCGCTGTCCGAAGACGTTTCCGTGGTCATGTGGCCAGCATGACTAAACACCAAGGCCCACGGAACGCTGTTACCTTCCCACCGAAGAGACCCCCTACACACACCCTAAATATCCCGAGCGCTGGGTTTCCCTACTTTTAACGCCGATGTGCAAGAAAATCTAGGCCTGGGATCTAGGCAAAAGGGAGAGGAGACCCCCACCCCCACCCCCAAGTGTGCTTGACCGCCGAAGCGCTCTGCTTGGCCACCTCCATGGCGTTACCGCGGGGCCGCCCCTTGCCGCCGGCGCTGCCACGTTGCGCACGCGAGGGCCGGGGGCGCGCCCTGGCTCACACTCGCTCACCGGGCTTCTTGCCGCGCCATTCCAGCCACTGCAGGGTGAAGTCGCCGTCGGAGTACCGCGCGAATCGGACGAGCAGGAAGAGCAGGAAGCCCACCACGGACGCCCAGACCAGCACGCAGATCGCCATGGCCGGCCCGGGAGCAGCGGGAAGGAGCAGCAGCAGCAGCAGCCCGGAGCCCTCGCGGGCCGCTTTATCAGCACCCGGCGGCGGCCGCCCAGCCCTTCTCCCCGGGCCTGACCCGCCCCGGGCGGGGAGGAGTTTGCGCTCCGGCCTGTCTGCTCTCTCCGGCGCCCAGAGCCGGGCTGGCTTCGCCCCCATCGGACGTTCGGGCTTGCAGTCGCCGGGGGGCGCGGGGGGGGCGGATGCCAGCCTCCTCCAGGTGGGACCGGGGGATCCCCCCAGAATTACAGCTCATCTCCAGGCGACAGAGAGAGATCCGCTCCCCTGGAGACTGGCTGCTTTGGAAGGTGGGCTCTCTACGGCATTGGACCCCACGGAGGTCCCTGTCTTCCCCAGGCTCCACCCCCAAGTCTCCAGGAGCGTCCCAAAATGGTTCTGGCAACCCCAACCCTCATCCCCTGCTAGTGGCTGGGGGCGGGAAAACACAAGAAGAGCCCTGCTGGATCAGACCAGTGGTCCATCCATCTAGTCCAGCATGGGGAGGCGACAGGGGCCAACCAGTTCCTCTGGAGGGCCAGCAACAGGGCATAGAAGCCGAGGCCTTCATTGGAACACCAGAAGAGCCCTGCTGGATCAGACCAGTGAGGTTCCACCTAGTCCAGCCTCCTGTCTCACACAGTGGCCAGTCAGTTCCTCTGGAGGGCCAACAGCAGGGCAGAGAGGCCGAGGCCTTCATTAGAACATCAGAAGAGCCCTGCTGGGTCAGACCAGTGGTCCATCCAGTCCAGCCTCCTGTCTCACGCAGTGGCCAACCAGTTCCTCTGGAGGGACAACAACAGGGCATAGAGGCCGAGGCCTTCATAAGAACCTAAGAAGAACCCTGCTGGATCAGACCAGTGGTCCATCACTGCTTTCAGTTTCATGTTTGTGCGCATGCACTTCGAAAAACATCCGGTTTGCGATGGGACGTGGAAGGGCGTTAGATTCCACGGGATACTAGCGCTCCCACGATCAGACGCTCGCCTGTGCCGCGCGTTTTCCGGATACTAGTGCACTTTCCTTGGTACTTTTTAACTCCGCATCTTCGGCGGGACGCCACGGGTTGGCCACGGGTACGCTACGCTTCCCAGATGTTGCGGTGTGATCGTGCCCCGAAAATCCGCCCGACATTCGTGCCTTTCGCGTGGTGTGACCGGGGCCTCTGTTACTCTTTTTTTCTTGGGAATGTTACACAGGAATAAAACCTCCACATATACTGACCAAAAGATCCTTTGGTTATCTGGCGGGAGACTCTGGAACAAGCAGGTTTCCCCCTTTCGGGGTCCACTTCAGGGAACACAACCAACATGGCCTTCCCCTCAACCCTCCTCTGATTTCCAAGTAAGAACCACAGGCATCCTCATCTCCTTAGCAACACAGCAAATGGGCCACACACACATTTGTGAGTGGAGAGAAATGCACCCAAAATCTCACACGTGCCTGGCAATATCACAGAAACGTGGAAGACGCACAAGATATCGCATCATAGGCCTGGGTCACACGGGCAGGAAAATGGGGGGGGGGCGTGGCTGTTTGCCCCGGGGCAAAATAACGCGCGGTTGAGCCAGCAGACGTACCGTGGAGGTCCCGTGGTAGGGGGGAGGTGCCGAGCGCACCACAATCCTGCACAAAGAAGCGGCGCGGCAAATGGGTGGGGGTTTTTCGGACACCAAAGTGTGTGCATGCCCCGTTGGGTGTTTGTGCGCATCCCATGGACAGTTGGGAAAAAAAACCTTTATATGAGGGGGCATGGGCGGGCGCTGGAACTACCACCAGAAACGTGATCAGACGCCCACCCTTGCCCCACGGTTACTGGAAACTAGTACCTCCGAGTTACTAGTTTTTAACCGCGCATCTTCGGCGGGAAGCCTCGGGTTCGCCACAGGAGCTCTACGCTTCCCAGATGTGGCGGTGTGATCGCGCCCGGAAAATCCGCCTATCTTCCGTCCCTCTAGCATGCCTAATGCTCCGTGTGACTGCAGCCATAGTTCCTCTTGGCCAGCACCGGGACCCTTATTAACAGTAAACGATGACAGAGCAATGACAGACTTAAACTTCTCGGTGGTGGTTAATGCAGGAATCTGGGAACACTTTGTATATGGTAAAATAGTCTCTCACCAAAAAGATTTTCAAGCGACTTGGTTCCCAGCAGTGGAATATCTCGTAGACGAAGAAGTGACTCCAAACAACTCTTATTACAAAGATCTGTTATATTTTTAAAAGGCTCTTACGGGTTGAGAATGTTGATTATTGCATGGTATTAATTTGTACTCTGAATGTACTGTTGAATATATTGTTCAGAATAATAATAATAATAATAATAATAATAATAATAATAATAATAATAATAATAATAATAATGATGATAATAAAAGAAGAAGATCCTCTTGGGAAGCGTGATCAGCAGCAGATCTTAATCTGTTCTACGTATCAATCAGGCCTGATGGAATTGCACTCCTGTGCACCTGGTGAAGGCAGGGTTGAGTCAACACTCCTGAAATAAATGATCTTTAGGGTGCTACTGGATTCTTGATTCATTTGATGGGTGGCTGAAGCTCGGGCGGCTATTGCAATAAAAATGGGGCGACAACCCATCGATTCCTTTCCCGCCCGGGACTCCATCCTTTTTACCCAGTTGCTGCCACCGTTGTTAGTCACTCCTGGCTTCCTGGGTGTTCCGCACTCAATCCCATCCTCCATGTTTCTCCTCCAGCTCAACTCTCCTTCCCTGATCTTCTTTTGTTCTTCCCTGCCGCTCAGTTCTCCACCCTCTCTTCAGGGCCCTCGTGCCCTGTATTTCCCCCACAGTGCACACCCACTACCAATGACAGCTTTCCTCATGGGATCATCATCACTTGTCTGAGCCCACAGGAACTAATACTACTGACACAGTGGGGCATCGGAAACAGCCGTACGAAGGAGAAGGGAAGGTTTTTACATCCCTCTTTAAGGAGTCTTTAATGGAGCTGTGGTGGCTCAAGTGGTTAAGACGCTGAACTGCAGGCTGTGGAAGGTCGGTAGTTCAGCAGTTCGAGACCCGAGTGCACTGCATGACGGAGTAAGCTCCTGTCTCTAGTTCCAGCTCCTGCCAACCTAGCAGTTCGAAAGCAAGAAATTGCAAGTAGGTAAATAGGGACCACTTCGGTGGGAAGGTAACAGCATTCCGTGTGCCTTGGTGTTTAGTCGTGCCGGCCACATGACCACGGAAACGTCTTCAGACAGCGCTGGCTCTTCAGCTTTGAAACGGAGATGAGCACCGCAACCCTAGAGTCGGATTCGACTGGCTTTCGAGCAAGGGAACCTTTACCTTTTACCTTAAGGAGTCTAAAAGCAGCTTACAGTCTCCTTCCCTTCCTTTCCCCACAACAGACACCTTGTGAGGCAGGTGGGGCTGAGAGAGTTCAGAGAGAACTGTGACTGGCCCAAGGTCACCCAGCAGGCTTCATGTGGAGGAGGAGTGGGGAATCGAACCCGGTTCTCCAGATTAGGGTCCACCACTCTTAAGAAGAAGAGAAGAAGAGATTGGATTTATACCCCACCCTTCACTATCCGAAGGAGTCTCAGAGCGGCTTACCATCTCCTTTCCCCTCCCCCTCCCCACAACAGACACCCTGGAAGGGAGGTGGGGCTGAGAGAGCTCTCTTGAGGACTGCTCTTGAGAGAACAGCTCTGAAAAAAACTTATGACTGACCCAAGGTCACACCAGCAGCTGCTTGTGGAGGGGTCCCACTGTGGCAGGGGCCTTCATTATTCAACATGCACACCCATAGATGATAATGGCAAATACTATGGGATGAATTATCTTTTTTTAACCATAAATCTTTATTGGTTTTCATCAAAAAGCACATACTAAAACTCTTAAGCCTTACACTTCACCTTTAACTTTTCCATTTATACAGCTTACTCCAATTATTTTCAAAACATGATTGGTCTTTCCCTTTTAACAAGTTTGTTAAATTATCCATTTCAGCAACATTAAACATTTTTGTTACAAATCCGAAATTGTTGGAGAATATTTAGCTAGTCTAGATGGGTGTAAATACCATCTGTGTACCACTTTGTAAATGTTTTCTTTATCTGCTACTGCGCTAGTAATTTTGGTGTTAGTACCCCACATATACGTCAAGTGTCTGTTGTGAGGAGGGGAAGGGAAAAGAGTTTGTCAGCCGCTCTGAGACACCTTTGGGTAGTGAAGGGCGGGGTATAAATCCAACCTCTTCTTCTTTTACCTCACAGGGTGTCTGTTGTGGGGAGGGGAAGGGGAAGGAGTTTGTGAGCCGCTCTGAGACACCTTTGGGTCGTGAAGGGTGGGGTATAAATCCAGTCTCCTCCTCCTCTTCTTCTTCTTCTCTTCAATGTGGGGGGCTAGAGTTGGGATATTCCATGGGTGGGGCACAATTTTCCCAGAGTGATTGGAGGGCCTGAAGCAGCAAGTAGCAAACCACAAAAGGACTCTTTTCTATAAGACGATGTATTAATTTTCTGGGGCTACCAAAAAGCCCTGAAAAGAACAGAGAACACCCCAAGAGCAGAGCTTCAAGTCGATGCATCTTTTATTTATTTATTTAGGCTTATATCCCGCCCTCCCCGTGAGCGGGCTCAGAGCGGATGACAACAGGAGTTAAAAACATTTCACAATAAGAAGTAAAACATTTCATAATAAATCTTCTGCAATAAATAGTTAAAACAGATCAAAACAACAAAGCTATACAGATGGCACAGGGACTCACCAGGTAGAAGTCAGAAAAGACAGGAGGAGGAGGAGGAGATTGGATTTATACTCTGCCGTTCTCAGAGCAGTTTACAATCTCTTTTCCCTTCCCCTCCCCACAACGGACACCCTGTGAGGCACGCGGGGCTGAGAGAGCTGTTTCAAGGACTGCTCTTGAGAGAACACCTCTGAAAGAACTGTGACTGACCCAAGGTCACTCAGCTGGCTGCATGTGGAGGAGTGAGGAATCAAACCCGGTTCTCCCAGATTAGAGTCTGCCACTCTTAACCATTACACCAAACCAGCTCTTGGTGTCTGACACAAATTTGGAATGTTCCTGAGACCCTGGTCTGCTCAAATGCAACAGGCCCGAACTGTTATACGTCAAGTATTGTTGTACGTTCCATATTCTATGTCTTATGAAAAAGAGAAAGAAGACGTTTGAAGT